TTTCAGGCTCCTTAAAATGCTTCCCAAATCCCAATATCATCAGCAAAACACAAATACCAGTGTATAAGGCCTGAAGATTTTAGTTGCTTTAGGCCAGGTCCACACTTCTGTGGCTGTGATTTGATCTGATTTTCAGTGCGATTTTGTAGTGTGACAATGGTCTGTTTTTCATGCTGCTGTGTTTTTTTCATGCGAAGACAGTACACTGCATCCGCCGCCATGTCCTAACAACCAATGACTCATCCTGCTGTCTGCCGAGGATTCCCTGGTCCATATATAGATATACTCATCCACATGGTGGAAGGGCAGGATCTGGGGGCCCAGTTATTGTTAAAGGGGCTTCTAGATTCAGATAAGCGCCCCATTTGCAGACTCCCACAATCACCAAGCCAGGGTTGTGGGGAAGAGGCCCTTTTCCTCATCAACATGGAGACAAAGTGCTTTGCTGGGGGTTCCCCCTCGGCAAAGTACCCCCCCCCCCATATTGAGGGCATGTGGCTTGGTATGGTTTCGGGGGGGTGCACACTCAGCCTCTCTTCCTGGCCTGCCAGGCTGCATGCTGGAATTAGAGACTGTTATGGATATTAGGGGAACCAGAAGCAGTGTTTTTTTTACATTACTGACAGGCTCATAGTTTACATTTTTCTGTCATATGGGAATCCCTGGCTGACAGCCCATGAGTCTTTTGGTTGATAGGACATCAAAGGGTTTCGGCTCCTTAATGACCAACACAAAATATGGGCAAAAACTCACCAAAACACAGGTACGTGTTTTTGGTGTGATTTCATTGACGTCTATGGGGCAGAAAATTGTGCTGCATCACACCAAAGTAGCACATATACCTTCCCCAAAGTCACATCACAGTTCTGTTGTGTTATGTGAACTGGTACCATAGAGAATAATGTGATTTCCATTGTCTTGCTATTCTGCGCAACTGAAATCACATCTAAAATTGCACTAGTGTGAACCAGGTCTTATAAAGCATGGTGTTGCATTTTATATATCATGCTTTATTCACTTCTTGCAAATGCAATGCAAAACTGTCAGGCCCCAGGAAAAATATAAATCCTGCAGTACACACCTAACTGTTCCTATGCTGCAAAGTGTCCTTAACAGTAAGGGCCTGTGTTGATGACATCAGTTTGATATCGATTTGAGATGCTTCTGAACCTATTCAGAATTCGCTGACAGGTGCATTTGACCTGCATTCGATCTATTTTAGGCTATTTTCACACCTATGCAGTTTGCATTTGACCCATTTTTGCATTGCATTTTGCATTGCGTTTTTGATGCATTTTGCATTTTTTTTTCATTTTATATTTTCTTGTTTCTAGGCAGATTTAAAATGCAAAATACATCATAAACGCATCAAAAACATAAAAAACGCAACAACATGCTTTTCTGCAGTGTTTTCATTGAAGTCTATAGAACCAAAAAACACAATGCACCAGCCTTTCCATTATATTAAAAATCTAGGCTACGTTAACTGTAACATAATTCTATCATGGGGGGAAAAGAATGTTGGCATATGCAAAGAACAATTTTAGGCAAAAATCCTTAATTGTAGTGTGGTAGATATATGCATGGATAATCAAGCCGGTTGGTCTTCAGTGGAAGGAATCAGCTGTGAAACACTGATTGATTTTGACATTCAAAAATAGGAAATGTTTAAAAAGAATTATTACTGAGACCTTTGTTTTCTGTTGAATAATGTCACTCAATTGAGCTAATGAGCAGGCACATGCAAAAAGCTGCACATGTTCACAGGTATTTGCATCAAACAAGTGTCCAGCCATTGCAAGCCAGCTGTACTAGTGCATCATCTATACCTGAGCCCTCAAATGCTGCCTTTGCTGAATAGACACAAATCCCTAAAAACACACCCCAAATTCTTTGGTATAGCTTTCTTAAGAAAGGAGTCTGGTATAGCTGAAAAAGAGAATGGGGGAGTTCGACCCCATAATGCCCAAGGTTTCTAAATGGGATGTCCAGCAAGTTTGTATAGGTTTGATAGTTGGATATTCAAAAACCTTTGGCAATATATAGTATAACTATGTCACCTATACAGAACTCTATTGTGAACTTAATGACCTCCACATATAAAACAAAATTCCATGGATGTCAAGTATTATTTCAGTTATATTAGGTGACAGTTTTTACAATCAAATTATTGGAGAGTGTAGGTGTTTACCAGGGTGCAATACTGTTTATGTGATGTATAATTGTAAGCTGGTATTTATTTGGATTTCTTCTCACTCTTGTTTCCCTCTATCATGACCATGTGCTTTCGTCTGTCATGATCAGTCCCAAGAGCACCTTATTCAGGTGTCCGTTTATGAAAGAGAGAAAAGCTGAGATCCTGATGATCACAGGTGATCTCTCAGGTGTGCCAGTTTATGAAGCTGAGGTGAGAAATAGAGAACATTTTCTTCACTTCTCTTCAGAGGACACACCCTTCTGTCATTCACATTTACAGAGATGGTCAGTTTGTGAAGGTGAGATCTGAAGATCTCACTGGCCATCTCTTTAAAATATCTATGTTCCAGATTCTCCAGCCCAGAGCTGCAGAATATGGGTGAGAAGCTGCTGTGATGTGAGGAAGAAGGTTTCTTTCTTCCTAATATCAGCACCAGCGGGGTTAAACATTGATATAAATTATACCTATATATGTTTTTGTATGTGTGTGTGTGTATATATATATATATATATATATATTTGTGTTTTATATATAGTGTACAGCAGGGCTTAAATTTTCAAGTCCTGAGCTACTAGCCAGGCCTTGAGAGTTACTCGCCACCAACAAACACACACAAACAGACACCTGTACACACACACAGACATGTACACACACACATACAGACACATGTATACACACACAAGCACGTATACACACAGATACATATACATATATACAGAAATACACACGCACAGACACGGACATACACACAGACACATGTACACACACACACACAGACATGTACACACACACATACACACATGCATGTAAATACATGTACACAAATGTACACATACGCACATGTACATACACACAGACACATGTACATGCACACAGACACACACAAAACACACATGTACATGTACACCCCCCCCCATAAAAAGTTGCTGTACTTTGTTGTTCATTCACAGAGCTGGGTACTGCACTCTAGGGGGAGGCGGAGAGCACAGCACACACTCCTTCCTTTGCTTGCACTGCGCTCAACTATTGAGCAGTCTGACGGCTCCCAGTGCCAATGACAGATCCGGCCTGAGCTCCGAGCCTGCTCAGCAAGACGGTCCTGGGACACACACTTGCCCCCACCATAATTTCCACTCGCCATTGGCGAGCAGACGAGTGGAAATTTAAAGCCCTGGTGTACAGTAAATATATATATATATATATATATATATACTGTATATACACACACAGTAGTTAACACCTGTGCAATACAGAATTTTTGGCAGAATTGCACAATTCTTGCTGCAATTCCAGATTGTGCTAAAATTGTGTTAAAATACGCAGTGCACTTTTGGGTGACGTTCATTGTTAAAGGCACCCCAAATGCGGTTAGCAGACATGCATTTTGTCACACATTTTGTTATTTGACAAATGTTGCTACCAATGCATTGAGATGAGCATTAAAAAAAAAAACACACAACACTCCATGCCCAAAAAAGGTTCAGTTTGGCTTTTTTGGGTCTTTTTAATGCACATTTTGGTGCAGTTTTTAACAAACATTTTGCTTTTTTTCAACGCACATTTTAAAAAAATGTGAGTTGAAATTTTTATGTGCATTTTAGTGCTTTTTTAATGTGTATTTTGGCTCATTTTTTAACTGCGTTTTTGCGTGTGTTCTGGAAACGCATGCAAAATGCATGTCATGTTTGCGGTGCTATTTGTTAATGGCCTCCAAAAGTGGCTAGCAAATGTGCTGTTTGCCACAATATGCATAAAAACAAAGAAAAGTGGCAAAATGTGCGTTACAAACCACACCAAAATGCATGTTAAAATAGCCTGTGCCAAAATGTGTGTAAAAGCATCTCAAAGTGTGTTTAGAAAAGCGCTAACATGGACATTAAAAAAACCCACGCCAAAATGCGTGTTAAAAAAATACAGGATGTTAAAAAGCGGCAAAATGCATGCAAAGAATGCTAAAATGCACAATAAAAAGAGCCAAAATACACATTTAGGGCCGGTTCACACTATAGAAACGCAGTCCAGATGCGTTCCGGATACGTTTCCACATGCGTGTTTTATGACACTTTTTTACATGTTTTGGTGCGTTTTTGATGTGTTCCAGTGCATTTTTTATGCATTACAGTTCATTTTTTCCCTTTTTCTTCAATTTAAATAGGAACATGTGTGTCCCAGTGCATTTTTTGTGTGTTTTGGTATGTTTCAGTGTGTTCTGGTGCATTTTTGATGCGTTTTACTGGATTACAGTACACAGTTCTGTGCAGAAAAAATGCAGCATGTTCTACTTTGTTTTCTGCAACCGGACCGCACTGGAACTGTGAGCACTGTTGTGAACTAGGACATTGACAACCATATAACCTACTTATTGTGAGTTTTGGATGCAGAAAAAAAAGCACACTGAGACTACATGTATGTGCCAAAATGTGCGTAAAAAAGTACCAGTGGTCAGTGCTTATTATTTTCATGTCATTGCATGGTCTTTTTAACTTTGGTGTCTCTGTTTAACCGCCTCCTGGCCACCATATAAGGTAATTACAGGTGCAAGGTGGTTCTCTCGTTCTGGGAGGACGTCATATGACGTCCTTCCTTTCTAACTATACATGCGAGGCTCCGGGAGCGCGCAGCGTGGCGATCGGTGGTGCGCTGTGTCCCTCGGATCACTGATCAATGGAAAGAGCCGAAGATGTCAGCTCGGTCATGTGATCAGCTGTGTCCAATCACAGCTGATTACATCTAAATTGGGAAATACCGGTTATCGGCATTTCTCTCCCCATGAGCTGTCACGCTGACAGCTCGCAAGGAGAGGAGAGCCGGTAATCGGCATTCCTCAGGGGGGACATGTACACTGATCATCAGGGCACTGATGATCTGTGTAGCCCCAGCAGTGCCACTTCTCAGTGCTCATTAATGCCACCTGCCAGTGCACATCAGTGCCACATCAATGCCACATATCAGTGCCTACCAGTGCACTTCAATGCCACATATCAGTGCCCATATGAGCTGCCTTTCAGTGTTACCTATCAGTGCCAGTCAGTGCCACCTATCAATGCCAGTCAGTGCTACCAATCAGTGCTGCCTATTAGTGCCGGTCAGTGCTGCCTATCAGTGCCAGTCAGTGCCACCTATCAGTGCCCATCAGTGTCACCTATCAGTGCCGCCTAACAGTGCCAGTCATTGCCACCTAACAGTGCCAGTCCAGTGCCACCTAACAGTGCCAGCCAGTGCCACCTAACAGTGCCAGTCATTGCCGCCTATCAGTGCCAATCAGTGCTGCCTATCAGTGCCACCTATCAGTGCCATATATGAGTGCTGCCTTTCAGTGCCCATCAGTGATGCCTGTCAATGCCCATCAGTGCCACCTACCAGTGCCTCCTCATCAGTGCCACCTATCAGTGTCCCTCAGTGCAGCCTATCAGTGCCCATCACTGCAGCCTCATTAGCGCACATCAGTGAAGGAGAAAAATCACTTACTTGCAAAATCTTAAAACAAAAACTAAGAAAAACTTTTTTTTTTTTTCAAAATTTTCAGTGGTTTTTGGTTTGTTTAGCAACAAATAAAAAACCCAGAAGTGATTAAATACCACCAAAAGAAAGCTCTGTCTCAAAAAAATGAAAAAAATTTCATGTGGGTACAGTGTTGCATGACCGCGCAATTGTCATTCAAAGTGCGACATCCCTGAAAGCTGAAAATTGGCCTGGGCAGGAAGGGGGTATAAGTGCCCTGTAGGTGAGTGGTTAAACTCAGGTGATCTGTAATCAGACAATTATCTCAGATCACATGCAGCCCAGGGGCGGACTGACCATTTGGAACCTCGGGCACTGCCCGAGGGCCCGGAGTCAGTAGGGGGGTCCCATGAGATGCCCCTGGTACCTTTATCATAGGCTTTTTTGAGTTTGGGCAAGGACACAGGGGCCCCATGATCCCCTATTGCCCGGGCCCCATGAGTTGTCAGTCCGCCCCTGATGCAGCCCCTCCCCCTTCTACACAGATTTCAGCTGTTCTCAGAGGAAAAACATCGCCTCTCTCCTCCTTCTGAGAATAAATGGTCTCCACTTCATAAACAGGGGGACAGCGGAGATGATTTTTCTCTGAGAACTGCAGAGAACTGAGATAAGATAAATTATCTCTGCTTAATAAACGTACACCTCAGTTTGTAAACCCAATGTAGTTCTGAATAGCTGATGATGTTCCCATTAAACTCAGTTGCTTGTTTAAAAGTCCTGTATGACTTTAGTAGAGAAAAAAATGTATTGCACCTAGCTTTGGGTAAAATCTTGGGGCGTACTGATTCAAAAAGATACTGAATGTACAAGTATTTTACACATTCGGTGCTCCTGTAAATCAGCACATTCCACATATTTCTATATTTACTGAGCTGTAAACATAAAATATATTACTGAAAACTTGGAAACTGCACAACACCTCTAACAAATATAGAAGAGATCCTATGTACAAATTTAGAAGTACCAAAGCACAGGGGATTCTTGTTATACCCCTAAACAATCATTATGCATGAGAAAATTGATCCTCTGGATACTGCACATTGGATGAGATTTTCAAACAGTGGTTTCCCAACCCATCTGATTGATAGTCACATTCATCTGGTGCAAATGTTTTGTGCCCATATGCTGGCAAATTGTTGCATGATTATTGCTTTTTTGTTTTAATCATTTGGCAATTCCTGCTGGGGTTCCATAAGAGAAGATTGACATGTTGCAAGAGTTGAATGATCAGTTTCAGTACAATTCTTAATCTACACAGGTCACCGTAACATGTTTTTGTTAATGGCAGCCCTACCAGTAGCTTACACTTCCCTTCAAGGGCAGACTGACAACTCATGGGGCCCCTGGGCAATAGGGGATCATGGGGCCCCTGTGTCCTTGCCCAAAACTCAAAAAAGCCTATGAAAAAGGTACCAGGGGCATCTCATGGGGCCCCCTACTGACCCCGGGCCCCTCAGGCAGTGCCCGAGTTTCCAAATGGTCAGTCTGCCCTGCTTGCTTCCCTTCCATTCCCTGCTGCTGCTCCATTCCGCCACCAGAAGTAAAGAAAATTATTTGGGGATATGGGGCCTCACGTTCACGTTCACCCATGTGACAATGCTGATGCTTAGTGAATGGCCACATGGTAACTTGTTTGCAAGAAACAATCCTCAACTCTGTTCAAGTTCCAAATCTCCAACTTTCTTTGCTTCCAGTTGCTGAACGGTGGCGGAGGAGCCACTGTAGGATGCAGGAGTATAGGATGCAGATGAGGAGTTTTGTTTCATTCCTGTGCTATCCCACTCTTTTTGTTTATACTGACAGTCACCATTTCTATTCAAGAGTGAAATCGAATCTGTCTTGAAAAAAGGTATGTACAGCATACCTAGAGGGACATACCAAATGCTTTGATGTGTCTGTGATACCATAGTTGTTGTTTAAGTTTCAGTAACTTTCCAATACCCCAAATGTCCATAGACTGCTCAGTCTACCTAAGGCCTGTAAAGGGTTTTGCTTAACTTAATCACTGGCACATATATACTGTATGTACTAAGTCCATCCATAGTGTATATCCAAATGAGTTCCAAGTCTGCCAAGCTACAATCTAGATCATTGGTTCTTAACCTATTTTGAGTCATGGACCCCTTTAACAATCTGATGAAAGCTATGAACTTCCTTCCTATAAATATTTACATAAACACATCTTTGTATGCAATGAATATATGTACTTTATTTTATTGAAATTTGATTGCCTCATACATACAACATATACATATACAAAGTTTGAAAAAAGTAAGTAATATTGACAAAAACTCACTCCTTTTCATGCAAAAAGTAATGGCTGAAATATAATCATCTTGTGTAAATTAAACAAAACAATTATTATTATGCTCAAATCTACTACTAATTCTAGAAAATGAGAATAAGCACTTGCTATTATGGAGTGGTGCTAGATGGCAGTTGTGCAGAGAACGATAATTAAAATTTTGAACGGTAAACTTGGGCCAACAAGTAAAGAGACGCATAACAGTCGGCACTATAAGTAGTGGAAGGGTGTTTTTTTCTTTCATTTCTTTCAATGGGAAACCATTGGCTGGGACAAGGGGGAGAACTGTATAGTGAATGTAAATTTTATTTTTTATCGGATCCTCACTGACTGCCTGAAACCCATCCATTGACCAATTAGGGGTCAATGGACCCCAGGTTAAGAACCCCTGATCACATATCCCCCAGAGGTTATAATACCCCATGGGGCAGCTTACTGTAGGGTGGACTGAGCTGTCCAATGGGCAAGGTGCTGAACAGGTGCAAACTACACTATAGAGATGGTTGTATTGTGACTGGCACTGATAAAGTGTGGTATTAGATCTTAAAAATCATTATTTAAACTTGTTCATTTTATTATATTGACATTCTTCCATTTTCATTTAGTTCTGCTTTAGTAACTTTTTAACGGTTAGAGTAATGTAGACAAAAAATGTAAAATCATGTCACAAACATATCTATAACTTCCTTACCAAGTTTCTATGTTAAAGATGTTAATATAGGAAACCCTCAAGGTTTTCTAAGTATGATAGCTAATAATGATGAGCTAACTGAACATGTAAACCTGCCAACGGTTCTTGTTGAACTGTGAAATAAACATTTAACTACTAAACTATGTTTGCACTGCCACAAAGAAAATAGAAAGGTCTTACTCATAGTAACAATATTAGGTTTTTATTTTTCAGCTACCATTTCTAAATGCCACAAAACATTAGGGCAATGTCAGAGAGACTTATTGCTCTCTGTCTTAATAAGGTCTCATACACTTATGGTACATATGGGCATCAATCCACAGTGATTTTAGCAAGAACCTATTCAATATTAAATATAATATTCTCAGCTGAGAAATGAGATTTGAAAATTACAATCACGTGGCTGTGTTAAATTTTGTGAATTGATCCTAATGGATAATCCTCAGCTGCACTTTGTTTTAAACATTTAGTCCATGTTTTCTTCCATATTTCTTCTACCATGTTTAGGGTGCAACATGAAACATGTAAAAACTATCCCCAAAACCACAGCCATCCTACCCTAACTTAATTGCAAGATTCAGCTTCCCAACAGAATAGTGTCTTTTCTTTCATAAATTTAGCTGTGCTCTGCATGGCTTTGCTGGCAGAGTCCCATCATCCAGGCCTGGAATTGTTTATAAACATTACTACAGGTCCCATCTTCCACTGTGGCAGATGGTACTTGAATAAAATGCACCCACAATCCCTTCTCCCTTACTGCTCTGTAGTTCAGTGGGACTTCCAGCCCCAGGTCCATACCTGTTGTCAGGGATCCCGGCCGCTCGGCAGTGCGCACAGTGCGCGCATCTCGGCGATCGCGGCGGCGGCGGCCGCGCATGCGCACTAGCGATCGCGGCCGCGCCAATGGGAGAACAGGGCGCCCTATTTAAACCTGCCCTGTGCATCTCCAAATTGCCGCAAGGTCTTGTTCCTGTTAGTACATTTCCTTGTTGCCAAACTCTGCCTGTTCTGATTTATGCTCACCCTCTCCTGCTCTGACCCCGGCTCGTCCCTGACCATTCTTCTGCCTGTAGTTACTGTTATTTTGGACCCTCTGTTACTGAACCTGGCGTGTGACCTGACTACTCTTCGCCTGCTGCTTGGTACCGCACCTGTCCCCACTGTTACCGACCCGGCTAGTCTGACCTCGCTCACTCCTAGCAGTCATCCATCCATTCCGCTCGGATTGGGACCTGTCAGCCCCTTCACAGCAGGCTCATCCCAGGCACATACCCTCAGTGGGACCCCTCTACCACCGCCGGGGGTGCCCAGGGGCGCGACCTGGTTCCAGTCTTGCACCAAGTCCATCCCCACCATCAGGGGCTCTGGTGAAAAGGCAGACTGGGACTTAGACTCCGCGTCCTGGGAAATCCCGTGCTGTGGACCACTAGAGATCCCCTTGGGCGGAGCCTGACACCTGTACAGGCCTGAGGCTAGAGGAAAACTTTGATAGAAACTGAGAATTGCACCCTCAACACACTAATCTCGGGTGCGATACTCTGCAAGCTCCTTTGCAAAAAAAGGAGTAATGATCATGAGATTAAAGTATGTCTCAACCTGAAAACAATACATGTAATATGTTGCAGCTTACCAATTTTATGTGTGGCTGCAT